TATCTCTTTTTTCAAGTTGACAGTTAATAATTCTTACACCTAAAAAATGTTGCGTATATCAACCTGATGTTAGGTGGCTACGCACTAATGGTTGCTGTTATAATCTATAGCCTGCTTAAACTCTGTTCCCACTGCTTAAGGCACTGTAATGCAACCTAAACTATATACATATGCGATGTGAACAAAAAACAAAGAATAAAAAATAAATAAATAACATATTATATAGACATTAGATTGCTTAAGTTGGTATGCAGGCTCAGGCCACCACATCTGGTCCTTGTTCGCTTCTAGGGATAAAGCTTTTAGTACGGTTGGGATTAGCCACCACAGATGAAGAGTGTGGTTCTTTTTGTGGGAGTCCCAAGGCCTTGAGGAAGTCAGTAGCTTCCGACATCAAAGTCAGGCTTACAGTGGTGTCATTCTGGGTTACAGTGAGAGATCTTGGTGTAGAACATCTATATGAGTTGGTTATAGGGATCACCCACTGTTGGTTGGTTATAGGGATCACCATTTTTCTCCATTGTAGTGTACTCCTGGACAGTCTTCAAAGAAGGTCAGATGAGCAGATGTTAGTGGGTCTTGCCCTACACCGCAAAGTCATAGTGTGTCTTACCCCGCACAGCAGCAAGGATGCAAGATTTTACATAAGCCTTTGGCACCTGCCAATCACGTCTCGGGAAGCAGAGGTGGGAGCCCGTGGGGATTTATCGATCCTAAAAAGTCCATCAATACCAACTTTTTTAGCTTGATCAGGTGGTAGTATCTCAGAAAGAAGGTGTCAGACCTAATGTGGCATGTCAGCCGAGTTGAGATTGTTGGGAATGCCTCTAATTTTAAGGTTAGCTCATCTACTGCGGTCAGCTAGCATAATAGCTAGACTATTTTTAGTGCCATGGAGGCTTGAGAGGTCTGTACTTGGCATAGTGTTTCTTTTATGCTAGAAACATTACCTTGTGTGCAGGGCCGTTGCCCATATGGCCCGCACATGAATTTGCTCACAGGGAAGGGAGTGTATGTGTGTAGTGAATATTTTATGTGTTATTATAGAGGATGTAATGTGTGTGTATTGTTATGGAATGTAGTGTATAGGAATACCAGTTTGTGTATGGGATGTAGTGTGTGTGTGTGTATAGGGGATGCAGTGTGTTTGTGTAAGGTATAGAAAGCAGTGTGTGTTTCTGTGTGTGTGTGTTTGTGTGTGTCGGATGAATTGTGTGAATCTGTGTTTGTATGTGTAAGGGATGCAAAGTGTGTTTCTGTGTCTGTAAGGGGTACATTGAGTGTGTGTAAGATGCATTGTGTTTCTGTGTGTGTGTGTTTCTGTGTGCATAAGGGATGCATTGTGGTTTTTTGTATGTAAGGGATGCATTGTTTGTGCAAGGGCTGCACTATGTGTGTGTGTGTGTGTGATACATTGTGTATAAGGGTAAGTGTGTAAGGGAAGCATGGTGTGTTTCTGTGTGTGTTTAGGATTCACTGTATGTTTCGGTGTGTGAGTAGGGATGCATTTTATGTTTGCACCGACGTCATGACACAAATTACATCACCGTGGTGCGTATGTGCTAATGAAGTCATGGCCTGCGAAAACATCCGAATTTGAATGTTTTGGGGGCATGGTTTCAAAATTAAAGAACCAGAATATAAAAGGCTGGTTCACTCATAGCACTGTGCCCTGTTGTGGTTCTTACAGTCCCAATAGCGTGTTATATTCTAGTATTGTATTCCTGGTTTTGACTTTGATTTGTTTGACTACTCTTCCTTCTGTTACCCTTTGACTCGGCTTTTGTACCTTCGCTGTTCTTGACTTCTGGCTCCCCTGACCTTGGCTTGTCCCTGTTTATTCTCTGTCCTGGTGACATCAACCTGGCCATTCTAAGGTCCGGTACATATTAATGTGTATAGGATCCCAGTATTTCCTGACATTACAATAGGGCCATGATGGATCCGGCAGGTGTAAGTACTCGGGCACGTCCATACAATACCCGTTTCGAAGAAATAGATCATCGCATGGATGAAATAGCCCTTGCCTTACAGACCCTGATAAATCGGTCTACTTCTGGACCAGATGAAGGTCATACTCCTTCAGCAGCCCCCCTCCTACTGGGCTCGAGTTGGCTACCGAGTTGTTTGATGGATTAAAAGGTGCTAAAATCTTCACCAAATTTGATTTAAGAGGAGCATATAATCTTGTCAGGATACGTAAAGGAGACGAGGGGAAGACAGCTGTTAACACCAGATACGGGCATTACAAGTATACGATTATGCCTTTTGGGTTATGCAATGCCCCGGCTGTCTTCCAAGATCTCATAATAACATATTAAGACATTTTTTTTTTAACAAGAGTGTGTTATAGTATACCTGGATGATATCTTGATGGAAGTGTTGACCAGACTGTTGCAAACTAGAAAAATGCCTTTTTCACCAGTCCCAAATATGTTTTCTAGGCTACGTAATAACAGGAGGAGGGTTTGAAATGGATTCCAAGAAATTGGATTTCATAATAAAATGGCCATTGCCTAATGGACTAAAAGCTATACAGAGATTTATAGGCTTCTTGAACTATTATACGTTTTACGTTTTATTCGTCTAGTGTTGCTCCTATAACGAATATGACTAAGAAAGGTATTAATCCCCAAAAGTGGTCTAATGATGCCTTGAAGGCTTTCAAAGCCTTAGAATTGTCTTTTGCGTCTGCTACTATACTAGTCCACCCTGATCCCAACCTTCCTTTCTTACTTGAGGTTGATGATCAGAGACTGGTGTAGGAGCAGTTCTGTCACAATGAAAAGACCATGACCAACCCCTTCATCCTTGTGGCTTCTATTCGCAAAAAATTATCTGACACAGAAAGAAGATATGAAATAGGAGATAGGGAACTTCTTGCTATCAATTTGGCCTTAAAGAATTGGCATCACCTCTTAGAAGGTACCATACACCCTGTAACTATTTCAACAAATCATAAAAACCTCTATATTGCAGAAGCCAAACATTTGTCAGCTAAAAAAGCTTGTTGGTCCCTTTTTCTGGCTAGGTTCAATTTCATTCTCACTTATAGACCATGATCTCAAAGTTCGAAAGCAGATGCATTATTCCATCAGTTCGAACCCCTTGACAGAAGGTTTCCTCTGTTGTTCCCATACAACGCAACATAGCCAAAACCAGCATCTAGTCTTCTCTTGTTTCAGATATCATAGCTATGCAAACCTTAGCATCAGGAAATACCCCTGATGGCAAGTTGTATGTCCCTCCTGAACACTAGAGGAATATACTCCTTTGCCATCATGACAGCACGATAACGGGTCATTCCGGTATACACAAAACCTACAAACTCATTGCTAAAGAGTTTTGGTGGCCGTCCTTACGAAAGGATATTAGGGACTATGTTTTGACCTGCTGTGTCTGTGCTAAAACCAAACTTTCCCATACTTTTCCTTGCTAAATACATTTTTTGTATTCATGGTTTACCTAATGAAATAATCTCTGACAGAGGGTCTCAATTTATATCCCAATTCTGGAGGGCCTTTTCTACCCAGATGGGGATTAATCTTAATTTCTAGTTGGCTTATCATCCACAATCCAACGGGCAGCAGAAAGGACTAATCAAAAAATTGAACAGTACCTAAGATGTTTTGTATCCATTAATTGGGATGATTGGGTTGGCTTGCTTTCATGGGCTGAGTTTGCACTGAACAGCATGGTTTCTGATGCCACTCAACAAAGCCCTTTCTTCATGAATTACGGTTTTCATCCTGTTGTTCTCCAATCAGAATTTCCTTCACAGTGACTACCGATGGTTGACAAACATACAAAGAACCTGAAGAAGACCTGGGAACATCCTTAACAACTCCTGATTCATAAAATCTGTCTTGATAAGAAACATGCCAATAAACGTAGGCTGGCTGCTCCTGTCTTTTCTCTGGGTAATAAGGTCTGGCTAAGGCCTCGCACCCGGCGGCATACTGAGCAAGCTGTCGGGCCCCCTCCTGATGTCAGGTCCTCGGTCAGGCCAGGCTGCCAGGCTGCCTAACCCGCCCAATTAGAGAGCCGCTTCTGAGCTGGTTTACAGTCCCAATAGCGTGTTGTATTGTATTCCTGGTTTTGACTTTGGCTTGTTTGACTATTCTTCCTACCCTGTGACTCGGCTTTTGTACCTTCGCCATTCTTGACTTCTGGCTCCCCAGACCTTGGCTTGTCCCTGTTTATTGTCTGTCCTTGTGACGTCAACCTGGCCATTCTAAGGTCCGGTACACGTTACTGTTCTATTACACTCTGCGTATAGGATCTCAGTATTTCCTGAAACCAGCTCCTCTGTGTTTATCTTTCACCCCTTCCCTTAATGATCTCTTTCACTTCCCCCTGTCCCTTAGAGGTCTCATCTCCGCTGCCTGTCACTCTTCTCCCTCTGTCCCTTAGAGGTCTCCCATCCTGTTCCTGAGAACTCCCCCCATCCCTGAGTGTTCTCCCCTTCTGTCCCTTAGTGCTCTCCCATCCCTTAGTGTTCTTCCATCCCCTCCTGTCCCTTAGTGATCTTCCCTGCTCCCCTATCCCTTAGTGCTATCCCCTGCCCCCCACATACTTGTCCCTTAGTGCTCCCCCCGTCCCTTAGTTCTCTCCCTTAGTGCCCTTTACTGCCACCTTGTCCCTCAGTGCTCTCTCCCTTTTCCTTAGAGTTCTCCCTCCTCCCCTGTCCCTTAGTGGTTTGTCCCCTCACCCATTCTCTTGTGTGCCTCCAATCTCCCTGTGTAGCATGGCTGGGTGGAGCAGACCGCGGTACAGGAGCTTCAGTTTCCTGTACCCGGCTGGACTGACAGGAAGTGCTCTCTCAGTGCGCACTTCATGTCAGGCCGGCCGGGTATAGGAATCAGAATCTCCTGTACCACGGTCCACTCCGCCCGGCCACGCTACACCGAGTGACAGATATGAGGGAGCGCAGTGCACTTTCCTCCTTCCGGGTCACTCTAGTTTAGCTCCCCATAATGGATGCACCAGCCCTTTCTGTGCTACCTTAAGGGTGCCCCCTTCAAATCTGCTTGTGTGTCTATTATATCCTCTTCAGAGGCTTGTATGTGTGCAGTCACTGCTTGCACCTCAGTTTTGACTATGTCGATATCAGCTGAGAACATCTGTGCCTCAGTGAGTGTGTGCTTCAGTGTTGTCAACACCACTGCTGAAAGTCTAGTGGCTCCTCCATGTTTAGAATGGAGCATGTGGAGCCCGTCTCGAGGTCCAGCTGCATGGCCATTTTGTTGGATACAGGGCATTGTAGCAAAGCACCAATATCTTGGGCATGTTGGTTTGTACCTGCAGACACCCATAGATGTGGTGTTGCTGGTCAGGTTGTCTCCAGTCAATTGGTAAATAGATGGCATTTCAGGAGGCCAAGCTGGGCCTTGTAGCGGAGTAGGTCTGCGCCAAGCTTTTCTGCCCATCTGGCCAAATAAAAAAGGCATTGTGTAAAAGCCCTGCAAGAGGAGGTGTACGGGTAAGTGGGTTCCTGAGCTAGTAGCCAAAAACCAGCTATATCTGTAATGATTTTTCAACAAATTTGCTGGAACTCAAGCGAGTCAAGCCTGGTCCACTCGACTGATAAGCCCTGCCCACATGGAAAACTCTTTTTAGGCACTTTTACCCTGGGTTTTGTCATTTTAATGGCAACTACCTCTGCAGCGTGTTAAGCTACTGGCAGCAGCAGCTTACTATAGGGCATACTCAGCACCAACGCTGACAATGTAGAAAGGAAATGTCTGGCCCACTACTTAATAGGAAAGGAGTGTTGTATTAGAAGAGTGGCTGGGTCGGTGCATTATGTAACAACTGAAGAAGTCATATCCTGACTGTTTAAGAAAGAAGTGAAAGTAGCAGCAACATCCTCATAACTTTTACAAGGAGCAATATTCCCAGAACCGTAAGTGCCCCAAAAACCACCAGCAGCTCTGTATTGAAAATTAGTACTACTAGATATAAAAGATTAGAACTGCATACAGTCACGGGAAAAAGAAAGTACATAATTTTTAAATACTATAGTTTTACATATTAGGACATAACAATCATCTGCTCCTTAGAAGATCTTAAAACTAAGTAAATACAACCTCAGATGAACAACAACACATGACATATTTCACCATTTCATGGTTTATTTAGCAAAAATAAATCCAAATTGGAGAAGCTGTGTGTAAAATACTGCGTACACCCTTACTGCTTTCATAGGAATTAAGACAAGTGCTGCTACATGATCTTAATTAATTAATCAATTAAGTGATCATGTGCAAGTGTGACAACCTCTATTAAAGTCAAAGTTTTAGAAGTTTGCTGGTCTGGAGTATTTAGATGTGTTTAACACTATGCCAAGGAGCAAAGACATCAGTAAGAGAAGCGATTGTTGTTGCCCATCAAACTGGGAATGTTTATAAGGCCATTTTCCAAACAATTTAAAGTCCATCATTCTACAGTGAGACAGATTATTCAAAAGTGAAAAACATTTAAGACAGTTGCCAATCTTCCCAGGAGTGGACATCCCAGCAAATTCTCCACAAGTTCAGACCATGCAATGTTAAAAAAAATTGCATAAAAAAAGAGTTACATTTCAGACTCTAGAGTCCTCAGTTAGCAAGTTGAATGTTAAAGTTCATGACAGTACAATTAGAAAAAGTCTGAACAAGTATGGTTTGTTTTGAATTGTAGCCAAGAGAAAGCCTCTTCTTTCAAAAAAGATCATGGCTAAATGGGGAAATATAGATCAGATAGTGACAGTCCTTAAGCCTTTTAAGGATGTCACAGAAAAGTAAAGTCAAACCACAATAACCCTTGGGCAGGTGATTCCATTATTCATGCTCCTAAAGAACAACATGAAAGCAATCCTAGAGAACTGTGAGACTGAACCTGGAGAGTGGCTGCATCCAGACACGGAAGGTATTATTAGTAGGTTGAAGGAGATATTGAAAGGTTACATGTATGATATGATGGGCACCACTCCAGATTTAATTCTAGCCAACATTTGTGACCTAAGAATAAAGAGAAATATAGACTAGTTAATAAAGTGCATGAGATGCAGAGAAAGAGGGGTATGATAAAGAAGGAACAGCAGCAGTTGGCAAAGGGAGAAACGTCAATTCAAAGAACAAATTATTGTTGTAGTAGTAGTAGCAGCACTTCAACAGAGATACTCCTCATTAGCTGGTATCTATGACTGTGATGCTAAAGGCAGAGGCCAAGTGGAGCAGCAACTGTTTGGGCCAATGCCCTTACCACTACCATGGAAGGTGGTGGGGTGAGTGGAGCCCAATTAACATCTCAGAGTAGCACCTCTGAAATGGTTAAGCCTACCTTTCAGAACTTACTTTGGCTTCTACCACAGAGCCTCCTACTTAACGGGAACAAAAACGTCAGGTGCAACCAGGGCTTAGGTTGTTTGCTCAACAATTCGGGATTATTCTAGCTTCAGTGACTGAATAATCTAAATTGTATTAAAGACAGGAGGTGAAAATTTGCTTTGACCTTCTTTACTGAACCTCCCAGCAGCAAATAAATAGTCAAACATATAGAGAAAAATCAACCAATCAGGACACATCTTAGAACATATTAGTCTGTGAGACTCCTCCCAACTCCTCTTTCTTGATGCAGCCAATCAAAAGTTTAGTCAACCTTGTAAACTTGAGCGATAATCAACCGTGTAAACCAGAACAGAACCGACACTGGAAACCAATGGATAGTAGTGGCTCATGCAGACAAACTTCACACTAAAAAAGACAGAAAAATATTGTGAAAGTATAGTCACTTGGACTGGGTGTCTGCAAAATATATGGATATCACAAGTATAAAACCATTGCAAAATCTAAAATAGCCATAACTAGGTTAATTAAGAATCACCTAACCAGAACAAACAGAAAACAGGAAGTTTAATATAAAGTCTTACGAGAACCACAGAAATAAAATATACCTGACCTGAAAGTTTCTGGGATGGGATACAAATTGGTTGGAAAATATTCGCCTCCTATCTTTAATAAAATTTAGATTATTCAGTCACTGAAGCTAGAATAATCACAAATTATATGGCAGGACAGGATGCTTCATATTTGCTGTTTTAAAGCGTGGAGACCAAGGAAAAAGAAGCATGGGACGATTGTCGAAAATAAAAGGTACGGAAGGTAGACTATCTATACCAATAGAATGTCTGCAAGGGATCCCCCAACCATAAAGGTGGAAGAGGCAGCAGCACCTCTGACTGAGTGAGCTCCAAAAGTGGCGAGAAGCCACTTAATCCAGCGGGCATTCGTGGGACAAGACACTAGCTTGTGTGGGCTCACATATGAGATAAACAGGGGGCCCATAGGGGTTCGTAGAGGTGGCGTAGAGGAGACGTCGTGTTGAGCAACACAGAGAGATGGCCTGTCTCAAAAGTAAGGGTAAGTAAGCGTTAAGGAATTAGTTTTAGTGCGGCGAGAAATGTTGAAACATACACCTTGGGGAGTGAAATCAATAGCATGGAAGTTAAATGCTTGAATATCAGATACTCTTCTTAAATAAACTAAGCCGAGAAGAAGAGCTAACAGTTGTCGAAGAGAGAGCGCTTCATTGGGTGACCAAGCCTCCAAGAAAGACAAAACAAGAGCAACATCCCAAAAGTCCTGCGACATACCAGGATCCCCTGAAACAATCCAGGCCTCTAGCTGGAGATGACCCTGCAACATGAGAGGGTGAAAGTTGTCTTTGAGAAGATTGTGTGTGGCAGGTAGCAGTAATGGGTAATCCACCCATTTCCAAGAGATTGGAGAACCATGGTTGGGTTCGCAACAACGGAGTCAGCCGTGTTATTGTGGTCCATAGAGTCCTGAGATGATGGAGAGTTCGAGGGATCATGGAGAATGGAGGGTAAGCAGAAGCACCGGTCATTGGCCAAGACTGAAGGAAGGCGTCGACTGCCAGAGAGGTCGGATCCGGAAACCAACTGAAAAGGTGTCAGTTTGACGATTCAGATGAATGGACCCTGAAGAAGATGGAGACGGTAAATGTACGTGTGGGTCCAGTTGCCAGTCGCTGGAGTTTCTCCAGTGTTGAGAGAACCAATCTGCTACTAGGTTGTCAGAACCAGGCAGATACTCCGCTCAAAGGGAGATGTTCCTGTCCAGACAAAATTAGTATAATTATTTTGTGAGGTCTGAGAGCATTTTGGAACGGGATCCCCCTAAGCAACTCACGTATTAAACAGCTGAGATGTTGTCCATCCTCGCCACTAGGGGACAATTGTAAGAGTCCTTTGTGAAGCTACGAATCGCAAATGAACCGGCAATCAACTAGAAGCAATTGATGTGCAGTGCATGTTCTGATAGGGACCAATAACCTTCAGTAGAGAGATCCGAACATGACGCACCCCAACCCAGGAGTCTGGCATCTGACTCTAGGATATAATCTGGTTGCAAGCCGAAGATTGCTCTCCCGTTCCACGCATCCATATGGTGTAGCAGTTTAGTTTGAGTCGGACTTCATCTGTGTCATGGGGTAACACTTCCGGGTTCGACATTCCGCTGTGCGGAGCCGAACCCAGCCCCCCTCTGACGCGGCTCTAACAGTATTTAGGGAGACCACGCCAGAGAGAGGGTGCTGGTGATACTGGGAGCTACTTCCACAAGACTACCTCTCCACAGTCTCTGGCAATGTGGGTCATACTTCCGAATATGCACGCCAGCTCCTGGGACACGCCGGCTCTACAAATTTTGAAGTCGTCCTAGCCTTCTGGACTAAGACAAGTATACTTCATGTCATAGAGGATTACTGGAGAACGGAAACTCACTTACTTTACAAGTGGCTATATCCCTAAACTGTTTGAAGACTACTCAGATTAACCTTAAGTATATCTTTCAGCTATTTGTCTACAATATCATTTATTAATGAACTAATGCTTGCTTACTCAAATCTTCATTGCTACAAACTACTAATTATATGGAGGACAACTCCCATCATGTTTATTCACTATGAACTGTTCTTGCTTTGCAAATATTCTTAGCTACTTGCTTATTGTTTCTATGGAAGATTATTCTCATGAACTTAAAGAATGTTACTTAATGCATCTCTGAGGAAATACTTAATAATGAACTTTGTGTTGTTGATTACTTGTACTTCTTCTTATTGGATTATTGCCTAAATGCAATTCATTTAAGTTTAACACTTATTAAAACTTTGAATCAAGTTACCAATGATTCCCTCTTTTCTTAAAGCTACAGTATTGATACTTTAAAGATTCTCCATTTCTTCACAATTGTAATTAGGGAGTTTTACAAGCTGCAGTTGAGTTCCAATCCAAATCACCCAAGTAGCGTAACAGTCTGACAGTGAGATCTGTTAATAGTAAGATGCAGAGTGACATAAAGAGTGAGTCTTCAGACGTTGCATTGCTCGATAGTGTAAAGGAACTGGGAAAATTACCTGTATAGAG